GATCCCACGTGCAGACCTATGCACTGTTTATCAAGCCATACTGTGGCAGGCGTCCCACATATAAAGTAGAGGAAGATGGACACAGATGTTAGCTCAGGGCCAATCTTCCTCAAAAAATAAAACAAAACTATTCATTAGAGATAAATTTTTATCTTTTTGATAGCTCTTTGTGTGCACAAGTAAAAAAATCCAAGAGTGTGTGTGTATGATGTGTGTGCATACAGGAACACATGATTCACTGAATATGTGGATTGTATTTTAGGTAATCATCTCTTCCTAAGGGGAATTTCATATGTTCTCAAGAATAGATCGTTTATTCCAAATTTTAGTAAACTGTTTTCTCAGATATTATAATTCGTTTTTAAATTAGTTATGTTTTCTGTGATTGATTAGACCAGGGTTTTCAGTGTAACATGATCATTGCAACTTGAAAATATGTTTTGTCTTTTCTTCTTTTTCATATAATTTTCTTTGATGTAGCTCTGAGGTTTCCTGTGATTGTTATCTTTTTACTGTAATTTGGATGCCAACACTATCTTTGTCATGCAAACATGGTTTTCTTTAGATGGACACACTTGCTATTTGTGAAGCAAGTACTAATTTACTCTATAGAACATAGTCTTTGGTCAGTTTTGGCTAATGTTTATGTTTGTGTCATGGGTGGTTGGTCATGAAGTTATACTCAGACTGTTTTTAAATGAAATTTTCCGGAATGAATATATGGAAGTTTTATTAAATTCTTTTTCATTATTTATGCTAGTATCTTTTCATTTTATGATTCTAAAATTTAGTATTTTTACTTGTAACTAAACCAGGTATAAATATATGTGTGTTGTGTATAAACCAAATATACGTTTATCATTTTACATTACATAAATATCTGTTGTTGCATTTTCTTATTTTATAATTTACGGTAATATGACAACATATATTATACATACATATAAATATGTGTATATTTTATATGTATGAGTGTATGTATAACATATAACATTTATGTATGTTATTTTTTCTGACTCCTGGTTTCTTTGCTGTAAGGACCATGTCTTTCTCAGTTTTGCATCTGCAGACTTAATATAGGATGCAGAGAGAGTCTATATAAATTGAATCAACGGCAGGATACTTACATATTAAAATGGCTTTAAATTAGTGCCAAATAATGGCTAATTCATATAATCTCTAGTGGGACGAAGGAAACCATGTGGTATCTAAATGGATGTAGACATGTGTTGTGTTTCTTCAGGCTTCCTTCACAGATCACATCCCCACATGAGCAGGAAGCACGGCCTGACCATGATTGTAGTGGCTTGTGTATAGCCCTTGACATCAGAGTGAAAACCAGTTTTGCTGGTGTGTGCCTGATATAAAACTGTTAAATTGTTGATAGATTACAATACAATTTTAAGAAGGTACAGAGATGAATATGGATTGGGTGAATGGTATGATTTGTTATTCAGTTGAGAAATATAGATTATATGAGACATATGTTAAATATTTTCTCTTTGGATAAAAATAGAAATTATAAATCTACACTCAGACATCTGTGGTAGGAAAAGACTATAACATTGAATTAAACTAATATTTATTTTCCTTCTCTTTGGTAATTTTCCATCTGAAAGTCAAGAAAAACAAGGTGAACCCTGAAATAGCAATAATCAAATTGCCCCTTATGTTGAAGTTTCAAGGTTTAAATCACTTTATTTGAGTGAATATGAGATCTTAGATGATTGAGGTTTCTAAATTTTTCCTCTTATTGCTCACTGTTGCCTACACTTATCTTCAAAATGATTTATCTGCATCTGAGACAAGACTATTAAGTATTCTGTTCTGGGGCTCCCATATTAACCAACTCTAGATTTAATATTGAAAAGGAATACTTTCTAATGAAACATTCTCAAATATTTTCATCTTAAGTCAATGTCCATTTATTTTTTTGCTGCTATGAACTAATATTTTGTTTTTCATAAGTCTGTTTATTAGAAGTCTCACCAGAAACATATTTTCATATATCTATAAATATATATATTATTACTTTTTTAACTTAAAAATTACAAAGGAAAATTTTACTGGAATGACATTTAACCCTGGGAAGTACTGAAAAAGAAATTTTCTCTATTGATCGTGTGCAGCTTTTCCTGGTGTGGTTAGGACAGTTACCAAAACACTGAGGAGTAGCTGCAGGAAGCAAGGTTAACAAGGCCATGTGCACGCCATCTAGTGGTTATAACGACCTAGTGCAACCTAATATGACTGAAAGTTGTCTTCACTCGTTAACAACTCAGACGCCTGCAGGAGCCGAGCACATAACAGAAATGGGACAAGTGGGTGGGACAAAAATCAATTATTGGTATATATCACACTTCTGTCATTACAGAGCTACTGTGTAAGCACATAACATAAACAGAATATAAAAGAATATATTTTAAACTCAGAATGAAATGAAAAATGCAAGCTCTGATAAATATCCCCAGGGAATTGTGTGTTCTATGGCAAAGCCAGCCGTTGACCATCAGGTTCAATTGTTGTCATTCAAGAACACAGGCCCAGTGTTGCTACATCTTCCAGTTTTTCTAGAGAAACTGGAAATCTGATTTGTATATAAAAGTTATTAATTTTAATATGGTGGCTCAATTTTTTAAGATGTGATATGGCCCAAACTTAAATACATGTGGGACCACATTTGTCCATTTTGAGATCTTTCTTTTGAAAGAAGTCTTGAATTTATTGATGTCATTTCTTTCAGAGGACAGGAAAGTTTTGGGCATCTTCCAGCAACATTGTGAAGTGAGAATGGAATATAAAGTAACTGAATCGTTGCTAGATTGTGTCTTGGTTGAAGATTAATTTTATTCAACAGCAGACACTATTCAAGATGCTAAGGTTGTAGCTGTAAATAAGAGAAACCATTCGTGTTGGTTTCTCCCAGTGCTGTACCTTCAATGGGACGCCCAGTAATCAGAGGGCACGACCACTTTCTGCAGGGACTGCCCGTGGAGGGTTTGAATACAACTTTCCAGTGTTTTTCTTGATTCTTGGGCTCCATATGGAATTTAGTTCATGATTTGTATCACTTCAATGTATCTTTCTTATACGTTATCTTATCTTTATATTATTTACATTATCTTACATTATATCTTACATTATACTTATCTTTGCTGGGCAGCTTTGAGTTCTTAAAAAATAGCACTAAATTATAGTCTGTTATACAGGGGAGAATAAAATGCTGAGATAGTTGTTTGTTACTTTCTGTCTTTCACCAGAGCCCTTAAACTTGACCACATCTTTCCCCAACTGCACAGAGGAAGTGAATAAGGAGAAAAAGGAAGAATGATCAGGATTCAGAATCCTTTGAACTTGTTCGAAAGTAAGAGAGCCAGAGTGAAATGAAAGGAACCACAAATAGCCGTGTGGCCTAATTTCTTCTCCCAGCCCCCTCTGTTCCTTATTTTGAACAGTCACTTTCAAAGGCAAGCTGTAGTCCTTCCAGCTGCCCGTGGGATCCCTCCGGGCCCCTTCTTTCTCTCTCTGACCTGATCTACGACCACTTTCTCAGGTGTTCTTTCTATTGCAGCTCCCCTGGTCTCCTTGTTGTTCCTTGATCACATCACACGTGAGCCCCCTCACACCTTTGTACTGGTGTGCTCTCTCCCTGAAACAGTATACTCACAGAAGCTGCTTATTCTCAGCCTTCTGTGTGCTTTTGCTAAAATGTCACTTCCTTAGTGAGGTCTACCTTGATTGTCCCTTTGAGAATCACATCCCCTGCACTCCCAGTCCCCAGGCCCCTCTACCTTGCTCTGTGCCCCCCCCCCCCCCAATAGCACTGATTACCTTTTAACGTAGCACATAATTTACTTATGTTTATTGTAAGTCTTTCCTCTGCTAAAACATCAGGACTCTGAGGATGGACATCTTTGTCTTGTTGTGTTTCCTGATATTATCAGAAAACAGTGTCTGGCATGTACAGGTACTCAATGCATATTTTTTAGATGGAAGAACATTGAACTTCTTTCTCAATTAGATGGGGGCATACTTCCCTCAGCCTGCTATAATTGCCCATGGAAGAGTTTCTTGTAATAAATTATATCATGTATGGGCTTATGATCTATTTTGCCTTTCTTACTAAAAACTGCAAAAACTCATGTTAAGAGGAAAGAGATATTTCCTCTTTGGATGTTTGGTCCCCAAAACACATGTTAAAAGTAAAAAGAAGTTTGTATGTTTGGTCTCAATATAGAGGTCAGTCATTTTGTATAGCAAATTAGTATAATTATCTATTATACTATTACCTATTATACTATGTAAGTAGCATAAAAAACTATAAAGAAAAATAATTGGCTTGAGGCGGTAGAGAGGACAAAGAATATGAGGTCAAGAGACGTGTGATGGTGTGCTGGCTACGCCATTTACTAGCTCTCTGACCTCAAGTTAGCTATTTGTTATCTCTGAGCCTTAATTACCTTATCTTTTAAGCAGGAATAATAATAATAACAGAATCTGTCTTATTTACCTTATAAATGTATAATGATGTTTTCTTTCTTAACACGTATTTGTTTCCTTCACCAGTTAAGCCAGTGCATTTAAATTCGAATTATTTTATCTTTCTGTTCACTTGACAGATACACTGTTTAAAATAAAAGCTCCATGGGAACATATTTGTGTTCTTGTTTTGCGTTGTTGTCTCCTCAACTCTAAGCACAACGTCTGGCACGTAACAGTTTCTCAGTAAATATGTTGTTGAATCAACAGTTAAGCAGTTGTAAGCCATGAAGTTCATATGGCAAAATAATAGTAAGCTGGTTTGTAGTCAATTATTATAATACAGATGTCTGTTATTATTGTCACTATCTAAACTCTTATCATCATCGTCAAATATGCTTTACTCAGGCTTTTTGAATCCACTGCCAAGAGGGTGATCCTCTTCTTGTGTTACTGCCTAACTTAGAAGTTTAGTGAAATAACACAGAAAACACTTTGCTGATCTAATGATTTTGTTACAGGTCTCTAAACTGGCTGGTGTTCTGGTCAAACATGGTATCAAGAAAGGTGACACTGTGGTTATCTACATGCCCATGATCCCACAGGCGATGTATACCATGCTGGCCTGTGCAAGGATAGGAGCCATCCACAGTCTCATATTTGGGGGATTTGCATCCAAAGAACTAAGTAGTCGCATTGATCATGCAAAGGTAAGTGCTTTATTTGGAGAAATCAAGTAGTACAGCCGTATTTATCTGTGAATGAATTGTCCAAGAGCAAGCTATGCTTATGAGAACCTCCTTTCAAATGGAATACTTAAAGTTTACTTTTTCTTTGGCATATATTGATTCACCAAAGATTTATTATTGAGTCAGTTCTATATGAAAGACATCTTGCTGGATGCTGTGAGGAATATAAAATAGAAGATAGGGTGCATACCTTTCAAGTTGGCTTGCTATATATTTGAATGTATAAGACATACAAGAAAAGTAACTAACTTATTCATTCAACATATATTAAGCTTCTACTATGTGCCTGACATTAACCTTGGAACTGGGCAATAAATGATACGTGTCAAATGGATGGGACACATACTTCCTGGAATGGTGGTGTAGAACAGTGGTGAAGAAGGGTTGTCCAGGAGGGGTGGAGTTACATAATTAGATGGCGTACTAAAATAAACTTGATAAGGCTGTTGTGAAATATCACTGAGATATTGAATTTAAAACACTTAACACAGTGCCTGGCAGGTAGTACTCAAAAAAAAGATGGTTAGCTGTTATTTTTCTATGAATTTAGGTCAGAGATCAGCAAACGTTTTTCTGTGAGTTACCAGACAGTAAATATTTTAGGCATTGCAGGTCTCATGGTTTCTGTTGCAACTGCTCAGCTGTGCTGTTGTAGCAGGAAAGTGGCCTTAGACATTACATAAACGAAGGGCTTGGCAGTGTCCCAGTAAAACTTGACAGAAACATACTGTGGGCAGACTTGGGCTCTCAACCGTAGTTTGCAGACCCCTGATTTAGAGGAAGGAGTGATCTCTTTTCGTTGGAGTGGCTGACGAAGGCTTTCTGAAAGAGCTGAGATTTGAGTTAAGTCTTGACTAAGATTCAGCTAGCTGAAGACAGTGATGTTGTGGAATCCAAAAGAAGAGAAAAAGAATATGAGTCTAGCATTAGAGGCAGGAAAGGGCAAAATTCAGTGGGAGGACAGTGAATGGCCCAATGTGACTGAAGAGGGAGAGAAGGTGAGCTTGCAGAGGCAGCTTTTGTCTGAACTGGATCCTGTAGACCTTGACCAGTCAAAGTCGTTGAGCAGAGAAGTGTCATGTTTTATGCAATGTTAAGAGGAGGCAAGTCTTGCAATACGATGTGAGTGGGAGAGAGGCTGGAGGCTGGAATAAGAACCTTTGGTAGGTGGTCTGTTTGTGTAGCAATGGACAATGTGCAGGAGAGGAACAGCAGTGGGAAGACTAAGGAAGGAAGGTCGCTCCAGGAGTAAGAAATGGTTGACCTTTAGAGCTTTACAAGCCCTAGATGAGACATTCTTAACAAGGAAGGGAACTAGTGTGTATTGAGGGTCCCCTGAGTGCTAGGCGTAAAGGATAGTTTGGCATATCTGACCTCCTCTGGTAACAGATCAGTTATTAGAACTAGGAATTTTGGTTTATGGGCTAACTGGCTGGATTCTTTTTTGTTCTTTTTCTCTTTTTAAAACATGTTGACTTAGTGCTTTTGGAGGAAAATATCAGTCATTGACCTGCAAATCAGTGGGCAGTTGGAAACTTTTCTCACAAAGCTCTAGACTCCAGGCTTTTAGCTACAGAAATTGTAAACACTATTTGAATAAAGGTGTAAGGTGTATTATGTGGCGATGTGGGAAAATTGAGATATATAACACAATAAAGATTTATAAAACTTGTGCTATGCCACTGGAGGAGTTTTCATTCCTAACACACACACACACACAGACACACACACACACACATATATAATCACAGACACATATAATCAGACACATAACACACATCATCCTGTTAAGGAGTTTAGGCAATCAGTGCGTGTTCTTATGGGCAAGGCCATTGGGCAGGTCAAATTAAAGGCGAGAGGTTAAAGACAGAGATACATATCTGGGATATTTGGATAGAATTAATAGTTGGAATCAGGGATGATTTTAATGTCATGATTTTCAAAGAAATAGGCTGAAGAAAAAGTTTTATTTTAACAGATGAAGATGGGAAGAATGTATTCTAACAAGTCAGTCTAGACCAAATAAAACCTCCAATAGAAGTCTATTAATAGAAAACTGAAAGGAATTGTTTCTCTAGAGGAAGAATCCAATTTTGACGTTATTAAATTATTAAAGTTTGGATATATCCTACATATGTTTTTAATTTGATATGTAACTTACTTTCGTATATTCAGAATTCTAAGCTTGAGGAATATTATCTATTTTTGTAAGTATTACAGATATTAAAATGTGAACTGTATTCAAATGTCTGACCTTTAAAAATGTAATAAAGGAAAATAAGACTTATTTTTCTTTTCTTTCCTTTTAAAAGACAGCTTGATATAGTGGAAAGAGAAAGGTTCTGTAATCAGACAGAACTGGTCCATGTTCTGATTCTGCCACTTGTAACCTGGGGCAAGCTTTGTAACTGCACTGAGCCTTAGCGCCATGAATATTAAATAATATTTGAAAAGCAGAAAGTACTATATATGCATATATTGGCACAATAGAAACCTCCCCTGGACGGAATGTACTGTAACCAGAAATCAGAATTCAGGAGCAGTTGCACTGTCTTGGATTGATTACCTGTCTCCTGAATAATTAGTTATCTGTTTCCTTTTCTTTGGATTTCTTGGTGAAGAAACAGTGTGCCTAAAGAATGAAAACATGTTTATTCCTGCAAATTAATGAGAATTTTGATTCAGTTCCACAAATACTTATTGAGAGCTTATGGTATGGCAAGCACTGTGCCAGGCTTAGGAGAGACAGAGATAAATGGGATCCAGATTTGCCCTTGGAGAGCTGTGGTGCGGATGAAAGAGTATTTTGACTACTGTGAGACATCTGAGGCCTGGCCAGGATGTTCTGAGGAAGGGAGAGTAACCCCAGGGGACACTTAGGCGACATCTGCATTTATCTTGAAGAATGACTAGCAATTTGGCAGGTAAAGAAGAGTGCTAAGTGTGCTTTAATAACAAAACTTAAATCACTTAGGGGCTGTTTTAAGGAAAATATGACAAAATTACAAATATAATATTTGGGGAAAATGAGTATGTATTTAGAATGAGAAACGAATCATAAAAGAATTTTGGGAGATTTGGGTCCCTTCCTTCTGTGGTCTCTTTAGGCGTTTAAGCAGACATGCTTAACATTAAAAGACTTAGAAATGCTTCCTGATGGCCATGGCTGGGCTGGCCCTCCCCACCTAAGAAACGCTACAATTTTAGCAACGAGCAGCTGTGACGCGCGCCTCTGGAAGGGAGCACCTCTGCCTTTCATGGCAAATCCACCTGCCTGAATGAAGTCTTTGAAAAGTCTTTTTAACAGCTCATACTTATTAGACAAAAGCATCACTCAGTGTTCAGTTTTGAACAGGTAAGTGAAATTTATGTGGAAGTGGTTAAGTTACAACATTTAGAAAGAGTTTATTGATTTTCAGGTCATTTATTCAATAGAGAACAGAATCATTCAAACATGTTTTTAGAAAAATTAAACTGCCAGTCTGCGCCTGAAATATAGTGATCACCTTAATTAAGATTGTTAAGCTTTCTCAATTATTTCTTTTTCCTTGTAGCCCAAGTTGGTTGTTACAGCATCCTTTGGCATTGAACCTGGAAGGAGGGTAGAATACATACCACTTATAGAAGAAGCGCTGAGAATAGGACAACACAAACCAGATAAAATTCTCATTTACAATCGTCCAAATATGGTAATCTGAATACTGAGTTTGGTTCTGGCTTATGGTGATGTGCTAAGGATGATTCTAGTTTGGACCATTTGAAAGAAAAACTTGATTTATAAACCATTAAATATACTTCCTGAATGTGTATTTTTGGCACAAAAATGATACGAAAGATAGTTTCTGTTTTTATGATAAACTAACTTAAAACAAGAAACTTGAAACACAGAAATACCCATTTAATGAATTGGATTCTATGTATTGTCTATGGATTCTATGGATTCTATTGTAGTGGCATACATTAATTTAAGTTATAACAACAGTATTAATACTATCAAACGCTTATACTGCTTACCATATGATTTTTAAGACATTCTGCTAACGGATAATTTTTAAAATCTTCCTGATAACTCTCTGAGCTAGGAGATAGCATTATTCCTATTTTAAAGAAGAGGAATCTAATAAACAGAGAGGTGAGTAATTTGCCCGGCTAGTAAGGGTCAAGGTCATGATCTGAATGCATGTGCTTTGCATGCTTAAACCTCCAGCTATCCTGCCTTGTGGTGAAGTGTGATTAATTTATATGTAAAATGTCTTCTAAAAACTTTAGAAAAGGTATTCAGTCCAGAAATAAAAAATATGTACAAGAAAACAAAATATGAATATTATAAACAAATAAATTATTCTGTGATCCATGGAGGAATAAAAAGCCGTATAATGCATCAATGAAAGTATTTTATAATGCTTTTCCTAGTATGCTTGACCTAATGATCACCTTTTTTCTACATCCAAGCAAGTGTCCAGCTATTTATGATGAGATCCACTTGGGTTTCTAGCAGATTAAAATTTTTTTGCAGAAGAAAAATTACAAGAGTGCAAAGACTCATGTATAATTTTGTGGCACACTTGAGAGGTTATCTGCAGAAAATGCTTAAATGACAAGATATAAAAACAGAGAGCATTAAAACTTTGTCATTTTGATTACCAGCCAGCAATTCCCCTTACCACATTAAATTCCTGTGCAAAGTTTTAGTGATCTGTGCTTCGCACTCAATGATTTTAATATTCTTACTGTCCTGAAGAAGAATTTTAAGTTTCTTTTAGATGACCTCAAGCATATTTAAAAAAAAGACTTGTTGCTGTTACATCAGGGAATGCAAAGTCAGCAATAAAGAAGGTTTTGGGTAAGAGAAGATTGGAGCAAGAGCAGGAACGCACACACACGTGTTTATGTGAGAATGTGTGTACTCTTCACACATAGATGGATTCGTGTAGAATTTACAAAGAACTTATGCTAGGCCCAATGCTGAGTACTTTCAAATACTTCCTCTTATTCGATTCTCACAAACCAGTGAAGTAGATGCTATTAACTGGCCCTTTTAACAGATGAAGAAACTGAGTCATGGAGAGGTCGTAGCCCAAAGTCACATCGAATAAGTGGTGGAGCTAGGATTTGAACTCCGCCTTCGTGACTTTGAATTAACAAGATATGTGATATTTCTTTTACTTTATTAACACGCTAGATATGGGTATCAATGCTTCCTAATCAGATTTTTCTAATGCAAATCTCTTCTCTCTTGTCTTAATAGATAGAGATCCACTGCCCCTCCTCTCCCTCCCGTAACTGGCTCACTTTCTCTCCCTCTCCCTTTTTCTTGAGAGACTTCTCTCTGCTTTGACTTATCTTTTTTTTAGATGAAGGCTTTGGATGGCTCTTGTCCTTCATATTAGACCTGCTGTTTAGGCAGTGATTAAGCCCAGTGGACTGGCTTTGCTTTGAGTTTAGAGAGACACAAATTATGAGGCTTGGGGGTACTTCTCACTAGCCAGGATTGCATTTTGTCAGAGGAAGTAAAAATCTGGCCACCACTCCTAAGCCTCAGGCAAGCAATGACAGAGTCAAAGGAATGACCTCAGTCACCGCTGCTGCTCTCCCTGTATTGCCTTTTAAGAATGGTAACAACTAGGAGGGGCTGGCCCGGTGGCGAAGCAGTTAAGTTTGCAGTTCTGCTTGGGTGGCCCGGGTTCGCTGGTTCGGATCCCTGGTGGACATGGCACCGCTTGGCAAGCTATACTGTGGCTGGTGTCCCACATGTAAAGTAGAGGAAGATGGGCGTGGATGTTAGCTCAGGGCTAATCTTCCTCAAAAAAAAAAAAAAAATGAGTGATAACAACTAGGAAAGACATGTCTATACAAGTAAATCTATGTGTGTAAAAGCTCATGTTGATTTTTTTCTCCCTCTTCCTTTCGTCGTATCTTCTTTACACATCCTTTTAACTTCTTAGCCTGAAGAACAACCATTCATTCAAGTCCTCATTTCATTTCATCTGTAATTGTTTTTGTGATCACTCAATTGACATTTTTCATTATGCAGGGTGATAATTTTTTTAACGTCTGTAATTGTGATGTCAGAGGCTTAATCATTTGAAATTAGTCGCATTTATCTGATGCATAAAAACAAACGGAAATATAGAATTTGGTCGTAGTTAACTATTATTATTTATCTAAATGGCACATCCAAGACATATCAGGGTGAGGCTGGAGAAGCCAGCTGGCCCTAAAACTTAACCTTCATGAAGGTCACTTCGAGTTGTTATCAGTCAATGTGTTTATTCATATAGGCATCGTATTTGTGATGTTAAATTGGAATGTTAATTTGTAAATGTACCCATTTAAATGGATGACCATGTTTTACAGCTCTGATTAATATATTAAGGAACTTGAAAAATGGAAATGGCCTGGCTTTTCTAAATCTCTGGATTCTGGGCTTAGCTCTGGGATCCCCTTGATGAAATAAATGGTTACATACACTCTCTACGTGGTGGATCTGCTAACTTTCCCTGAGGAACGTGCAGCCTTGCCTTGTGCCCACACTAACAACTTCACCAGCTATCAACTTTCTGATGTGCTATTTGAGTTAACATTTGAGAAAATGACTAGCCATGTACCAGGTCTTAACTCTACTTGAATACCTGTAACTCCTCATTAGAGTAGTTTTTTCATAAGCTGATTCCGTACTCTTCATATATCTGGCTTATTTCATTGGCACCATTATCAAAGAGGTCTACCTAACTTCTTTTACGGTGACTCTGTCTAACTCATGATTCTGTTATCATAGGATTTACAACACAGAGCTTGGTTCTAGGAACAAGGAAACCCCCACACATTTCAACCATATTAATCAATGACCTAGATGGAGGCAAACTTGGATAGCGTTTTAGATGTCACATACTCTCATTAATTTTCAAAACTGATTTTTTTCTTGAAAAAGCAAAAGAAGATTGCTTTCCCACCCCTGAAAATAATGTAATATTCTCTTATTTGGAAAGATGGCCACAGTATTACTCCTAAATGGCCCTTGTTTAAAGAGAAATTTTAACGCGTTGGTTGACATCTCGTTGTGAAGACATTCCAATGTAAAAACAATAGGTTACAAAAAGTAGAAATTAGTTTATAAAGTTAATAGTGTGCTTCCATTTATGAGAACACAAACCTCTGTTAGTTAAGCTCTGACAGTTGATGAAAACGTGACTGCATCACATCGAGTTTCTTAAGGATATCCCAAGATTTGAGTAAAACGTTCTTTTGTCAGTTCAGTTGAAGCCAGCATCAAACTGTTGGACTTTTTGTGAACATTTATCTTAACTCAAGATTCTGAGATATTTAGTCATAAATCTGATATTTAGTGCTATATCAGCCTAGATTTTCAGGCAGATGCTCAGACTAATATAGATTTAGCCACTCGTCCCTCTTCTCCTGACTTAATCTCCTTTGTTCAATGCCTGTTCCTATATTTTTGCTGTGCAGGAGACAGTTCCCTTGGCCCCAGGTCGTGACCTTGATTGGGATGAAGAGATGGCGAAAGCACAGTCACATGATTGTGTTCCTGTTCTCTCAGAACATCCGCTGTATATTCTTTATACATCTGGAACAACGGGGCTGCCGAAGGTATTCTCTCTCGTAGGGATAACGATCCATAGCGGCAGATTTCTTTTGCACTGAGAATATTTGATTACTGACTAAAAATGTTTGCTGACTGTAGCTTGAGGTTTGGACTGAGATACTTTATATCTTAAAGACATCTTATGTTTAAATATAGAAAAATATTAATTATATTTAAGGTAAAATGCTTTGCCCCAATTTCTTCCAAAGTCTTCACATATATCAGCAATATAGAATTGCTTTAGTAAGCTGTTAAAATTAAATTAATAGATGTTTGATTGAATATGATTGATTGAATATAATAAAATTTTATAAAAATATATTTTAATGAACTATGTTTGTTTTTTAAATTGAGGTATAACTTACATATAGTATGGAATTGATTTTTGATATAGGGGAATTCAATTCTTTGTTATAAATGCAGGTTTGAGAACTGTCTTAGACAGTTTGAACAACAGGCAATTTATCTGGAGTATTGAACTATTTGATTTGTAGCACTGAAGACACTCAAGGATTTTTATATCTGCTTACCATGAAAGGTGTTTTCACAAGCCAGAGCTAAAAACATTAACATTTATGAAGGTGTCAGATGAAAAACAATTGTCACCTTGGCCTGGTACCTCCAAATAATACTGTTTCCTCGTACAACTTCATAAAGGCAATATCACCTTCCTATTCATCTTTATTAGGAGGTTCAGTAGTCATTGAATCAAAGAATGTTGGTGGGGGAAGGAACTTTCACAGTCTCTTGCATCCTGGAGGACAGTGGACTCTTTGTTAATATTAGATCTCTGTAGCATCAGAGTGCTGAAAACATAATCTGTTAATAATCTTAAAATAGTGGTTCTATTAGATTAGATTTTAAAAAGGAAAACTAAGACCTTCCATATAAAACTCCCTTGCTTGTGAAAAGAATACATTTGGTAGGGGAATGTATTTTCTCTGAGGTCAGGGACCATGTTTTATTACCTTTTGTACTCTACCATTGTGCTTTGTATGTAGTTGGTTTTCAATAAGCTTTTATTGAGTGCATAAATAGGTAAATCGTGTACACAAAGATATTTATGTCATTGTAGAATCAAAGCCTAATGATTTCTTTTTAACTCTGGTCATCTGAAAAATAAATACTCCTTCATACTGAAGACTCTAGGACTTGTTTAAGCGTCCAGATCATCTGCTGGACTCAATCCTCAGCCTCCAGTTTCTGCAGTTCTGCATTATGCAGCAGCCACGAGGAGTCCAACCGAACGCTTGACTGTAAACTAAAAGGGGACTCAGCAAGTTATCCTTTAATCTAAAAGTATCAACATGAGAGGAAACCCATGACCCTGAAAACTTAGTATAACCTAACCAAATAATAATAGTAAAAAAAAAAACACCCCAAAATAAAAAAAAATCAGTTTAGCTCCTTCAAAGCCTGAAGGAATGTTATAGAAACATTTGCACCACCTCAAGATTTTAAATCCCTCTGAAATTCACTGTGGCCTGGATAGGGATCTGTATGGGAGGCACAAAAGAAGAGCTTGTCAGCAACTCAAAACTGGCTCAGCCAGTGTAGGAGAAATAAAATAAAAGTAATATGCAGAGCATTAAATTTGAAAAGTGGTGGTTCCAAGTAAGGAAGGGTCCTAGCCATTCCAGGTTTCCTCTGGGTCAAGAAGGTCTCTTCCGGATTCCTAGATGCCCAAAGTGAAGATCATTTGCGGTTTCAGTCATTCTCATTTTCCTCCTATTGTACCATCCTGAAGATACTCTATTTCAGTAGATTGGGGAAGGCTTTGATTGTTTGCAGATCTCTGTTGACATTGGATTCAGCTCAATTCAATATAGCTGTATTGAGTGTTCATTCTGTGTTACAAGAGATAAAAATATGAGTAAACCACAATCCCTTCAGTCTAGTGGGGTTGAGATATATATGAACACAGGTAATAAAAGCTGGATAGTGATCCTTGCTCTGAAAGGGCAAGGCTATTTCTCTTTCTCCTGAGGAAAAGATGAGATCGAATGGCATCTGAAGGATTAAATTCAACTAATTCAACAAATATTACTGGTCATCCAAATGTGTTTCTTGCTCTCTTTTTAGAAGTTTATATTCTATAGCCAGGGCACAGACACTCAACGAACAAAGAGCTATGTAATATGTTATAAGTGTTATGAAGAAAAGTAAAGGGGACAGAGTGATGGGAAGAGTGGGAGTGCTATTCTATCAGGGAACGTCAAGGAAAGCTCTTGATAAGGTGACATTTGAAGGATGAATAGAACTTCTTCATAGCATGACATCTCGGGAAGGAGGGCATTCCAGGCAGAGACGATCAGAATAAGCAAAGGCAGGAGTGTGTTAAGGAAGGTTCCAGGATGGCTAGTGCATGTGGTGCAAGTGAAGAAGAGAAATCGCCAGATATATAGGCAGGGGCCAAACTCTTAAAGTTTAGCTGAGAAGTTTAGGTTATATTCTGTATGTAAGGGATGGAGAGCATGAATTCTTCAGCAGGAGAGAAGAATATGAAGGAAGGTAACCCTTGTAACATTATGTTGGGAAGATAGACAAGTACACACAATGGAAGTAAGGAGGTCAGTTTTCAGGCTGTTCAGTTAGTTTAGGACTTTACTTAGGACAGCACACTTAATGGGGGGGATCAGATTTGTTTCAAGGATAGGAGTCAAGCAGAGAAGTACAAGACTTAGAACCTGAGAACGCAGAAGGATGGCTTTGAATATTTACTGAAACAAGAGGATGGTTTAGGGCTGGGGAAACTGAAAGATTTTGAATATATTGAGTATGATGTGTCTTTGGGAGATGAACATGGAGCTGCTTAGTCAGTACTTGAAGGTGAAGATCTGGGTTTAAGAAGTACATCTGAGTTTGGAGATAGATACTTGGTCATCGCTGTAGACGTCTGGCCTTTAAATCATGAGAGTGAGCAGGTTTCGCAAAGTAGGACATGCAGAATGGCAAAAGAACATAGTCATCTCTCAAGGTCCCTCAGAAATACTTCCCTCATACCTCTTGTGGACTTTAGAATTTCACTTGCATTTAAATTATACATTGCCAACAACCCTTTATGCCACTTATTTATTCTACCTTATACATATCAGTTTTTTATTTTCTTATCTTCATAAATTGCATTTTCTCTAAGGGCCTTAGAATATATTTTATACATCTTTGAAGCCACTGTCACTAAGCTTAAAATTGGGCCATGGTAAATCCACAGAATATTTGTTAAATGATCTCTTCTCCGGTTAGCTCCCAGACTCCTCTTTATTCATAAGATTCTCACTTCATTTTTGGTAGGTATAATCAAGAATAATGGGATCTGAAATTTTAATACTGGGATTCTCAGAATAGAAGTATAGGAAAGATGAGCACACATGCACTTATGAAGCATTTAAATATAAATTTTATGTCATCATTATAGTTTGTTTTCTTGGTGTTTGATCTTCATGAGGAAAAATAATGTGAGGCTATAAGAATATTCTCTTGAAAATGCTCTTGTCTCATAGGGTACTTATAAGACAGAGATAAAGCAGTTCGTTCTTTGGTTAGAATTTGCAGATATATTTAGGGCATATTTGCATCTCTGCGTCTGCCATCCTTGGATTTGTCAGGTTGCTGTGTGACAGGTTAATCTGCTAGCTGCTGCAAATACTCCGGCAGCCACAGCTGAGCTGCTCTGCACACATTGCTGTCTTGTTGTGGACTTCTGTCCTGTTTGGTTGGGTGCCTGTATTCAAGATACTTCAAAGCACTACGCAATAGAAGGATCTCTCATCTGGATTGGGTGTCCTTTTGGGAGTGGAAGATTCAGTGATGGTCATATTTATCTTCTTCTAGCTTGATATCATGGAGGGATAGTGATAACCAAAAACAAAAATAAAAAAAGTCAAATGCCAAAGGAATAGGGTAAAAGAAACCAAAAGCAAAGGATTGAAAGGAAGGCGGCAGATAAGGCCTTTGTCCTGATGTGCATTTACACAACTTATGGCACTTTTATTCCTGCATGTTATCCCCTAGCCTAGAAAAAAAATAAGAGAAAGTCAAATAGAAAAGCAGTGAACTTTTTTTCATCTGTGGCACAATTCTTGCAGATAAAAATGCTGACTTGCTACACCTTTGCCCCTTATCTCACGGTTGTTAAGATCAATAAAAAATTATACTGCTGCTAAAATATCCTCCACAGAAGCAGCTTCAGAGTCATCCAAAAGCCTGTAGCAAGAGATTTTATGTTTGATGAAATATCCCAAATGGAACCATTCCATTTCTATTAACATGATTCACCAAGTTCTGCAAATTTCGAGGGTTTTTCCTGAACAAAGAAGAGTATTTTAAAAAAGAATTATATTTTTCATATGTGTGCTTATTCACCCAACTGTTCACTCATTTACTGTCAACAAATGTGTTAAATGCCTATTCTGTGCCAGGCACTGTGCTGAAGAGACTGAGGCGTTCTCCTCAGGGCGCTCAGAGTGCTGGAGGAGATGCGGGCCAGGTCGGTGGTCAGTGCTCCAGGGAGGCTGCAGGCCGGGGGGCTGTGGAAGGGGATGGGGAGATGTGTGACGCAAACTGTGGGCCTGGACAGCTTCCAGAAGGGATGGCACTTTTACACTGTCTTTAAGTACTTGTGTGATGAAGTAGGAGCGAACCAGGGTCAGAAAAGTGGTGGAGGCTCATTCTAGAAAGAGGCTTATCATCTGTAAAGCCACTATCAGAACAAGAATATTGTTGATATGTTGGATTTTCTTAAGTAATCAGAACCATGCCTTTTATTTTTCAACTCACTGACTACAATTACCGTTCAGTGATGGATTTCTTTTCGTCAGGTAAAATATTTATTTCCTCTTTCTTCTTCTTGTGTTTTTTTCTCAACTTGTCAGGCTGAATTGAAATATGTGTGTGTGTGTGTATAAGATATGTATAAATTTATATACATACATACGTAAGCATATACATATATATACACATGCATATAGACACATACACATATGTATGTGTGAATAAATATATATTTTATGTATGCAAATATATATATTTGTCTTGTCTAAGCCTATATTACAGATTAGGATGATAGAGGGCCTCAATGTAGAAAGTACGAGGTTTTTGTCATATTCTTCAAACTTGATTCACCTGAGTATTCATTTTTAGAATGAAGAATCCCAAGCTCTTAATCTTACCACACATCTGCCTTCCTTCCTCTTCCCCTGCAACCCATGTGATTCCAACTGTACTTTTCTTAAGTTGCAGCAAGCAAAACTGTACACACTTGGTCATGACATGTTTTCTGTTTACCGACTCTATTTATGACATTTTGTGGCTTTCTTTTTCTTCAAAGGCAGCTCATTGAGCTGGAAATCATGAAGAACCATCTGGGATAACTGTGGTCCCATCTCTGGGTGATTAATAATCAGCCTTTAATTTTACTTGTACGGATTGAAGTTTGAAATACCCATATACGTTAAAAGAGTTGTTGCTTTTTCTAAAGAGCACCTTTACGTCGTCTCCTTTCCCCTTTCTGAGTTAGAATTCACTTTCCTGTCTTTATTTGGGGCACGGAGTGTTATTCCTGCCTGAATATCTTTCAAGTTCTCCAGAAGACTTCAAGGATTATGGCTGATCCTACCAACACCAGAGCAGTAGATGAGCAGGTTACAGGGCTTTCTTGAGAATATATTAGATCATTCAATGTCCTTACTGATAAGTGCATAAAGAAAGTAATAACAGATTCAAAAGAGTAAAATGCAGCATGCTTGTGTTTTAGGGGTAAGCATTGATACTGAATAAGTGTTTTTACCACTCAAGATTTCAAATGTACTTTAAAATGCCATTTTTAATTTCTGGTTAATTTTGCATACTTAGAATATAATCATTTGTTTTCTTGAGCATGATTTATGTGTTTTCAGAGGCTGAACAAGGTTTATCTTTGCCATTTTGTCACTACCTGGAAATTATGACTACAAGCAAGAAACAAAGAAATGCTTTATCACATTAATTTTAGTCACACATTAATGTTATAATGAACTCTCTTTTTAAATCTAATCTTTCAATTTTTTAACTTTCAAACTTCTTATAAAAGATCTACATGGAGAATGAGATTATGCAGTTCTCATTCCCATACCATAGCAAATACTCGGAAAATTCGAAACTGTCATCTGAATATTTTGGAGGCAAGATGAAATTTCAGATCTAGAATCTAGATTAATGAATGGTAAAATGATGCTTGATGAAACTTTTTATATTCATCCTTTAAAAAAGTAAAAATAAGTACATAGCAAAGATCAATGAAAAACAGACATTGTGGCTTTTCTCTCTCCTTTAGTTCCATTTTAATTGTTTTTAATGAGAATCTTTGATGGTAACCTCTAATTATTTTGACATTTCTGCCTTTTAGGTGGTATTACCACAGGTAAAAAGAAAATGAATAATTGCTAGAACTAAGGAAATACTTTCATTAATAAAATATTAAATTTTAGCTTCTATAATTAAAATTATTTTCATGCATAGTCTTATTTTTATACTCACCTTTTTGGGGTCAAATGGATTTAAGTACCCACCATTTTACAGACAAAACAACATTGGTAAATATCCTTTAAAGAAGTGTCCACTTGAGAAGTAAATAGAAATTTGAGAAATCTTTTAAATTATCTTCTAAGTTTTACAAATTAATTAATACTCATTTATATTCTCTAGCTTTTTATTCCTTTTATTACTTCCAGTTGGTTCATCTTACCCTCTGTGCCATATAATTTAAAAATTTTCCCCGTTACAATAATTTATGAATAGCATATTGTGTATGAAAAAAACTTCATTTTTTCTCCTATACAAAATGAATAAAAAGTTTTAGAAAAGAGTGTTTGCAAGATGACTAATATTAAATTCCTCAGGATGTTGAACCATAGGAAAAGGCCTTTTCAATAGAACAAACTAATTAGCAAAGTGCACGGAAGATGGTACAGGATATACTGCGGAAAGAGCTGCTCAGTTTACATGGGAAAATGCATGTGTGAAACTTACTGGCAGGGGGCTTATGATTTCTAATACTCCCAAGGTGATCAAAAGATCCAGCTGCATGCTAACCATGTCATACAACTAAGAAAATAGCTGTCAAATGCCAACAAAGCTGCATGTGATATTTACCAAGAGACCAGGTGTCGCTGCTGGCAGATGATGTGTGTTCCACAGCTTGATATCTATGTTTTATTAGTGGTACCTGAGGAGAGCAGCAATTTTAGGAACTAACAGAAAGTCGATTTCTTTTTTATTTTCCTGATTCATGTCTGTGTGTTACAGTTGCAGAGTTAATGCCAAAAAGGTACACCTAATAGCATACTTTTAATTAGGACCATGTTTGCCCGTTTATGTAAAATAATTATTTTCTGCACAGAGCACTTATAATTACTCTACTTAAAGATGCTTCAAAGTACATGTGAGTGAAATATAACATATTTCTTAGCAAGCGTTTACCTTCTCGCTCTAAATATTCACATTGTTAAGTCTTTTTGAGCCAATGATGATTAATGTCTATAGGAAAGCACTAAACAAAATTAAATTTACCATCAGTTCTTATTTATGGTGACTCTCGTACCCAGTTTTAAAATATTAATGTTGTATTAAAGTTGAATGGTGGTCTAGTGGTAGATTCAGTGCTCTTGTGGCTACAGTCCGGGTTCTGCCCCAGTCAGGGAACCATACCACCCCTCTGTTGGTTCTCATACTGTGGCAGCTGCATGTTGCTGTGATGCTGAAAGCTATGCCACCAGGATTTCAAATACCAATAGGGTCACCCAGGGTGGACAAGTTTCAGTGGAGCTTCCAGAATAAGAAGGACTAGGAAGAAAGACCTGGCCACCCACTGCTGGAAAAGGCCACGAAAACGCTATGAATAGCAGCAGAGCATTGTTTGATATAGTGCTGGAAGGGAGAGGACGGTGCAAAAAGGGTTCTGCTCTGTTGCACATAGGGTCGCTGGGAGTTAGCATAAACATGGCACTAACGCCAACAAAAAGTTGAATATGTTCAGTGTGGAGGATCGCTTCTAGAAACTGATTCACGAAAGCTGTAGTACTATGATGTAATGATCCCTACGTTTGCCTAAAATGTAAGAGAAGGCAAATCTGTCAGCCTTAGATCCATCTCATCAGTAATGATTCCTCAGACTTTCGGAACTCGTCATTGAAGAATTACTCAGCTCTAATACTGTGGTAGTATGGTTCCTAGGATAGCATTGTAATGAGGCTCTAGTTAGAATATGACTGTTTCCTCTAAGCATCCTGTTATTATTTAATAATATTAAGGAATAGACATCCTTATGTTAGTCTGTATTTTAAGCACACAGCTACCTTTGACCTTTCTGTGCACTTAAATTGAGAGTTTCCATTTCTGTTCAGGAAATATGTTTGAAAATGTTGATGATGTTGCCACTGGAAAAGATTTTTATTATATGCGATTCTGTGAAATCATAAGTTTTCTTTAGAAGGTCAGGAATGGTCTGTGAGAATGGATTCTACAAATGGACAGATGTGAACAAATTATTCCGTGTTTATTATTGGAGAAGCCAAAGAAATAATGATGCAGGTACAATTATATGAAAGGCAGAGTAATGTGTAGCTTATAGAGTATAAAATGCTTTAAATAGGAACTTTTTTAGGTCGATAGTATGTAGACAAGAATCTTTTAACATATTTTTTGTTGACTTCAGCTTCATTTTTTCTCTTTTTTAGGGTGTGGTTAGGCCCACGGGGGGATATGCTGTAATGCTAAACTGGACCATGTCTTCTATATATGGACTTAAACCTGGAGAGGTAATCATGGTTTAAATTCACATTGTGTGACATCCCTCTGATTAAGATATATGCATTTTATTATCTTCTTATTTTTTAGGTGTGGTGGGCGGCTTCTGACTTGGGCTGGGTTGTTGGACATTCCTACATCTGTTATGGGCCTCTTCTACATGGGAACCCAACAGTTTTATATGAGGTAATAAAATTAATACCACATATAAAATTTATTTTACCGAAACTTTTTGAGAAGTAGTTCTAAGTAGGAATGGCAAAATTTGGATGGAGCAAAATTTAGATTTTCATATTTTCTTCCAGTTAAAAATATGATTTCAAAAGAGAAAGGAATATGTAGAAAATAATAGCCAGCTATTTAAATTGTGTTGAACAAAGCCATAAAAATTATGTTCTGAAAAATGCGCACTAACAAACCTGATGTTTATCCCTGACAGATTTCTAGAAAATCTTATCAAATTGATATTGATTTAAGAATCTTAGGAAAAAAATAGTTATCATAAAATAAATGACAGATTCACCTTTTTGAGTTCTTATAGGATTGATGGATTTACAAATATATGGTGTCCTGATTTTGGTGGTTTATTTATTTTTTTTTAAAGATTTTATTTTTCCTTTTTCTCCCCGTTGTATATTTTTAGTTTTGGCATGTGGGATGCCGCCTCAGCATGGCTTGATGAGCGGTGCCATGTTGGCGCCCAGGATCTGAACCTGTGAAACCCTGGGCTGCCAAAGCGGAGCTGGGAACTTAATCACTTGGCCACGGGCCGGCCCCTTGGTGGTTTCTGATAATAGCTATATGTAGATGGGAGAGAATCATAGACTGACCAGATTCATGGCTGAATAAATAAGTGCTTTAATGTTATTTTGCATGGATCAGTGTCACCCAGGAATAATGTTTTTGAGTGTATACTAGAAAATTCTGCTCATATGCTTATTCTGTTTAATTTTATCCATGCCTTGTATAAATACTTAGAACACCTAACTATCAGATTTGTAGATCAAAATTTTAGAGGGACAGAAAAATGATAGTTTACTAAATCAGTGTTCAAAACGATCTTGGACTTTTGGGACAAAATGCACAAGATGGGAAAATAGAGAAATCTTTACAGTTTTGTATTAAAAATAGTTGCAGAAATGAAGCAGGGAGAACGAGTTGGTTGCAGTTTATGTGGTTAAGTTCTTGTGTAATATAATTATCCATGGTTCAAACATAAGGGTTGGTAGGATTGCTTTAAAAAACATATTCACCATGTGCACTGGTATAATTTTACTTTATTCTTTCACATTTGGAAATTTGTCTTCAGTTTAATGGGGAGGAGGAAAAATCATTAACTTATTAGAAAGCATCTGGAAGAAAGGAATGAGGATGAAAACAATGTCATACAAGAAAAGAATGAAAGAATTATGAATGATTAGTTTGAAAAATATTATATTAATGTGCATATACATTAAGTATCTTTTGATATTTAAAGAGTTGCCACATATGAAGGAAGAAATATGGTAGCGTAGAGTTCCAGAGACCCACATTTTGGGAATAATCAGAGACAAGTTCAACTGTCCAGTAGGAGAATAGGCAACTTCTGAAATGAAAAGCTCTCTTTCACTTAAACTCTCTCAACATCAGGCAAGGAATGTGAAGAAGGGAATTTTGCTTGTGGGATGTGTAAATAGTATTAGATGATGTCAAGTTTCTTTACAATCTTAAAATGCTGCAACCCGATGATTCTGAAAACTTTAGAGACTATTTTCTATCTTCACGCAATCCTGCTGGTCCCAGTCACCATTTAAAGACGTTAGTGTTCCATGACTTTTAGCCGGCTAGTTGTCTGTCTCTGAATGCTCAGAGATATTAAGGCGGACTTTGACACAGGTATTAAACCATCACGCACTACTCCACATCTTTCTTTTACTCTGCTTTTGTGCTTTGCAGACTTAATATGCATTGTGGCATTTGTAATAATTAAAACATAAAAAAATCTTGACAAATCTGTTCTATATCAAAGTTCTTATAATAGAATAAATGTTTTTATTAAAATAATCATCCCCCTTGAAGTAATCAAAATAAACTTCAACACTGAATGCTTATAATGAATTGTGATATTGCTGACATAAATGTGACAGAGCTGAAGGTGCCATTATATTTATAAATATTTATAAGTATTAAGCTGCTCTTAGAACTTTGGAAGTACATACAATTTTTGTGCATTTACCTTTGGCCTTTTATTATTTCTCAAGTTTATTTAAAACATAGTTTTAACACCATGGAAGAGGCTTGGTTGTTTGTCTTTCTCTTGGGGTGATGTGCTCAAGAACGGTGTAGAACTCTATGAATATTTGTTGTGTGAAAAAGTGAACTAAGTAAGCTACATTTATAAACCTTTTCTCTGCGCTCTGGTTTCTTTCCTACAACTTGTAACATCTTCAGTTCTCTCTGGTCACAAAACAAAGCCTTTTAGGTCTTTGCCCACTTCTAGCTAGCCCACCTTTGTTTTCTTCTCCACTAAACTCCTTGAAAAAATACCCTACTCACGCTGTCTGAACCTCATATTCTTCCAGTTACTCTTCATCCCAGTGCAGTCCAATTTCTGTCTGCATCACTTCATAGACGCTACTGTAGCAGAGGTCAACAGTGATTTCATAAGTGACAAAGTCAAAGGGCCTTCTTCAGTTTGATTTTATTTTCTCTCTCAGAGGCATCAACCCTGCTGACTGTTTCCTGCAGGTGATTCTCTCTCCTCTCTTGAGCTCCATGCCCCTTTGCTATTGTTCAGGCCATTTCCTTTGGCTCGCGTGACTTTCCCGCTGTCTTTCCTTACCTGGTTAATTGCTACTATCCTTCAAGACTCTGCTTAGATGTTGTCATCTCGTGAAAGTTTCCTCACACAGTCTTCGGCTGTGTTCAGTACCACTTTCCGTGGTTCCGTTGCCCCCTGAGCATATGTCCATCACTGAGCTGACCACACTGCACAGAAATGATCTGTTTATATGCAGTAGAATGTAAGATTCTCAAAAGCCAGTCTCCCAGCACTGTGCATAAGATACACTAAGCACTCAATAAATGCTTATGAAGTTAAACTGAACTCTACTCCTCTGTTCTCTTTCCACCTCTTTGACAGCTTGGCCTCCTTTTCCTCTCTGGGTTTCTGTTACTTTGGTCCTAAACATTGGGGTTTAGTTGGGTCTTGTTCTTAGCCCTCTTTTCTCGTTCTGCTTATGTTTCCTGGGTAATCTCCATGCAGTAGGATTTGAGTATTACTGATTAAACCAAGGCTCCTGCTTCCTCCTTCTAGATCTGACACTCCTGCTGAGTACCAGACTCATTGTTAGACATCTTCAGTGGTCCATACACACCTTAGGCTCAAGATGACATGAATCGAACTCACTGTTTTCACTCTTGCCTGCAGAACACATTCCTTTCCATGTACTCTGCAGTTTTCTTAATGTTACCTGTATCCACTCAGTCATCCAAACTAAGAATCTAGGTGTGAGTCTAGTATATCACGCTCTGTTGCTCGTTACATTCTAGTGAGTCTACATTTTAGTATCTGTCTAAAGTGTCCTCTCTTTTCCATGCCTCCTGCCGTATGTTCAAGGCTTATATTCAGCTGGTGTGCACAACTATGTCATGTTGATTCGTGCCTATTCTATGTTTGCGCATCTGATCGGATTTTTGCCTCTGCATTCCAGTTGCATATTTCAGATTATCATCAGGTAATCAGTATAAAGTACTTTCTAACAAATGCTCCTGCCTTTACTGTCACTCCCTTCTTGACCATCTGTACCCTATGTCTAATTTCTGAGCTTTCCTCACTTGCAGTTACCTGTCTAAAATGCAAAGGCCAACGTAGAGCTTGTGCTTAAAATCCTTGAAAGGCTTGCGTTATGCTTCCGAGAAGATGGAGATGACATACTTTATCCCATTCCTCCCTCTAAGTGGAACTAAAATCTTAGGCATTATCTCTAAAACAAATGTAAGAAGACTGAAGAGTGGAGAGAAGAAGGAAATCTGGCTTTAGGGCCCTTGGGAGCCAAGGAACAACATGGTGATGAGACCCTGGGTTTTATTTTTCCCTCATATATCCTAGACTTGTTGCTGAGGAAGCTGGCAGGTTAAAAATGCCAACAACTACAGACAAAAAAAAAAAGCCTGATCTTTCAAGCCAAAGGAGTAGAGAGAGGCAACCTCAGCAAGACGTAAAACTTTTAGATTGCTCTACTCCAGACAAATACCACAGAGAAATCCATTTTCTCACCCCCACCCATAACGGCAAAGGTTGAGTGGGCAGCTTAGACTGCCACATTTGTCAGACTGTAAGAAGAAGCCAGAACCCTCCCTCTTCCCGTGGGGGTGGTGTCAGAGAAGACCAGCTAGGGAGCTAGATATTCATTCCTGCCAGGTGGTTATGAGGACTCCTCAACCTGCAGTGACAGTGGAGACCATATCAGGAGCCTGAAGTTATACCTCCGCCCATCAGTAATGAGTTACCCCTTCCACTCCCCACTGGGCTGTGGTCAGTGGAGGCCTAGCAGAGAGTCAGGACTTTCACCATCAATAACAAGGCCACTTGTCTCTTCCTGTGGTGTCAGTGGAGGCCATGTTGGGAGCAGTAATGGGGTACTTTTACCTCACCTAGCCAGGGAGGTATTGGTGGAAGCCTACTGTTGGAACTGGAACACACCAAGGGCATCCTCCAAACTGGGTATCAATGGGGGCAAATGAGGAACTTGGATTTCTACCCCTACCTCTAACACTGAGATGACAGAGATGTTAGAATTATCTGACCAAGATTTTAAAGCAGTCATGATAAAAATGCTTCAAGAGTGATTATGAACATTCTTGAAACAACAAAATGGAAAGTCACAGTAAAGAAATAGAAAGTGTCAGCAACGATATAGAAGCTATAAAAAGCAAAATTTTAGAACTGAAAATTACAATAAACAAAATAAAAATTCAGTGGATAGGCTCAATACCAGAATGGAGGGGACAGAGGAACGAATCAATGACTTGGAAGAAGGAACAATAGAAATTACCTGGTCTAAATAACAGAAAGAAAATAGACTGAAAAGTTAAGAGAGCCCCAGGGATATGTAGAATTATAGCAAAAGGTCTAGCATTTGTGACATCAGAGTCATGAAAGGAGAGGAGAGAGAGAGTGGGGCTGAAAAAGTACTCAAAAAAAT